TAATTGAGTGTCTCAGACTATGCACTGAAAGTTCGCGGGCACGGCGGAAATCACCAATTAAGAGCTATGCAAACAAAACAATCACCTATGCTGCAGAGAAGACGCTGCAACACTGTCACAGTAACAGATGACTGACACAGTGCTATAACACCTTCTTAGTCACAAGCACACACGTAAAATATAAAGAAAAAAAACAGCAAGCAAGACACCAGACTTGTTCACGCAGTTCGGAGCAAATTCTCCTACGTCTGCAAGGCCCACGTCCGTGTAATAGCCCTTCCACTAAATCACCGTAAGAATTACACAATCAATCACAACAGAACCTTCTAATGTATTGATCTGTCTACTTACGAATGATTTGACGACAAACTCTGTTTGCGTCTTACTTCACGGCTTGTTACACCTTCTCAAAAATCTTCTTCAAGGACGTGTTTACCGCCCTAGTTCCAAAATAAAATCCACCAAAACTGGACCACAACTTGTAGATCTGGACTGTAGCTTGTCACGGATTGATGGAGAAGAAAATCTGGCCAATGAAGCACTTTTCTTTCCTACTCGCAGCTGCACAATTCTTTTCTCCACTTCATATGTACTATGTTTCACCTTTTGATCTTGCGGCAAGCTTCTTCTGCCCTTTTTTTTCTTCGGCTGCGCACCAGTGACGAGATTCACGTAGAACATATGTATATCTAAAAGCTTTTAAACCCTAGCCAAATAGTAGACCATGTAGGAATAGGATTCTCTCTTCAAGCTCTTTCCTCTTTTTCTTCATTCACTCACATACTAGGACTCTAAGTCTAAATAAAACATCTAAAATAATTCTAGGTAAATCTTTTCGTTTGTCAAAAAATAATGCCAACACAATATGGAACTAACATGCACAACCCCATTGAACAGGACTATCATGCCTTGCAACGCATTCTGCGCTATCTCAAAGGCACTTTGAATCGTGGTCTTCTTTTTCGCAAGGGGGGATTCGACCTATCTATCTACTCTGACTCTGACTAGGCCAATGATAAAGATGATCGCAAGTCTACCACGGGCTACATACTCCTACTCGGTCCTAATATCATATCTTGGTGCACGAAAAAGCAGACTCGTGTTTCTAGATCATCCACTGAAGCTGAATATCGAGCTATGGCTGCAGGGGTTGCAGAAGCTATGTGGCTTCGATATATCACTGATGCGCTGGGTATTCCTCCGTCCAAACCGAAGTTATACTGTTACAATGAGTCGGCTATCTGTGTCACCAAAAATCCGGTTCTTCATGATCGCATGAAGCATGTGGGCACAGACTGTCACTTTGTACAAGATGAGGTTATGGCAGGCATTATGACTCCACATCATGTTTCCTCCTTAGAGTAGCTAGCAGACATTCTTACCAAACCGCTTCCGCCAGTTCCTTTTGAGTACTTATGTTCCAAGCTGCCCCTCGTCTCCGTTGATCAGCTTGCGGGGGATATTAGGAAGTATAATTAAATTAGGATACTTCTTTTCTTTCCTACTAGGATTATTCTTTCCTTTCCTACTTGTACTTTGATTACTCTTGTATTCCCTATATATAGGGCCATATCTCTCAATATTCAATAAGACAAGTTTTTATCAAATTGTATCAGAAATCATAGTCGGATTTAATTACTCCCTTGACACTCTCTACTTTTGTTAACTGTGCAACGCCCACACCATACAATGTTTGTATTTGCACATATGTGGGTACACCTTGAACCTTTGAAACATGAGATTTTATACGAGACAAATCTCAGTCTCTATTGATTAATTCAAGATGAAGGTCTCGTTTAACATCAGTGTTAGAAAGATTAGTATTAGCATTTAAAAAATAATAATGATCTCACAATATTCTTCAGCTAGTATTTTCAAAATTAATCTACACTATTAAAATTTTATCAAAAATAATAACATTAATTCCAAAACGCTATTTTTAAACAAAGCCTAAATTATACTCCCTCCGTCCCTGAGTGTTTGTCCACTTTCATTTTTGCACACCATCCAATGCACTTCTTTAATCCATTTTATCTTGTAATTTGTATATTAAAAAATTATAAAAATTACTCCCTCCGTCCGGTATTAATGTTTACGTTTTGACTTTTGGTCATTTTTAAGGAAGGTTGACTAAGACTGTGAAAGGACCAAAATACCCTTAATGAAGGAAAAAGAAGGGAAAGGAAAAGAATGGTGCGTGTGGCTGGGAATAGGAAAAAAAGAAAAGACTATTGGAAGTGGGGAGAAAACACTATTTAAACATTGTTTTACATCCAATCAAACATTACATAACAATGATTAAAAATGACCAAATACATTAACATTACAAACAAATTTGGGATCCCTCCAGTTTTTTCCCTTCCCGCCCAAAAAAGCTCCCAACAAGTCTAACTCCCTCCAGGTTATATAAAACCATTGACTTTCCCCTTTTGGCTCCTTCATTCTTCTCTCATCATCATCATCTTCTCCTCCTGGCTGGAACAGCCTCTTTTCTTCTTTTTCTTTTTCTTTTTTTCTGTTTTTGGATCCCTGCAAAATTGATTCAAAATCCATAGATGAATTCCAAAAAACTTGACAAAACTACAAGGCAGCTTATTAGTGAAGGTTTACTACGAAATTCAAAAAAGAATAGTGATGGTTCCTATTCAGCTCAGAGGGGGCAGATCAACACGCTTGCTGCACAGTTTAATGTCTTGAGACAAACAATTAGCAAGATATGGGTCATCGTAAAAAACCAATTAGAGCAGGGGGTTGCCATTGACGTGAGAAGCAAAATGGCAGGTCATTGTGGGAGGAAAAGGGCATAAATGGATGTAAATGTCATTGCAGATACCCCCCTCAGGAAGCGGGGTACTATCAGAACATTAGTAGCAGCAATTGGCAAGCCAAAGTCCTGTGTCCATCAGTGGATAAAAAGAGGTATGCTTAGGAGTCACACAAATGCTATCAAACCATACCTTACTGCTGCTAATAAACAAGCTAGGTTGAAATTCTGTTTAGACCAAATAGAACCTTTGAGTATGCCTCACCAACCTATATTCAAGTCTTTTCATAATGTATTGCACATTGATGAGAAGTGGTTTTTTATGACCAAAACATCTCAGAGGTTTTACCTTCTTCCTGAAGAAGTTGACCCCTATAGGACATGCAAATCAAAAAGGTTCATTACAAAAGTCATGTTCTTGTGTGTGGTTGGTAGACCACTTATTGATGATAATGGAGTTGTTCTTTGGGATGGAAAAATTGGCATTTTTCATTTTACTGAAACCGTTGAAGCCAAAAGAAGGAGCAAGAACAGGGCTAAAGGGGTCTTGGAAGTGAAACCAATCAAGGCAGTTACCAAAGAAGTCACAAAAGACATGCTTATAAATAAAGTAATTCCAGCTATCCAAGAGAAGTGGCCTAGAAATTTATCAAAGAACATTCATATTCAACAGGATAATGCTAGGCCACACATTCAAGGTTTAGACTCAGAATTTGTAGCTGCAGGAAACAGTAATGGTTTCCATATTACCCTAGGTAACCAACCCCCCAACTCCCCAGATTTAAATGTCCTTGATCTTGGGTTTTTCAGAGCCATCCAGTCCTTAAAAGAACAGTGTGCTCCAAACACAGTTGAGGAATTGTTAGAGGCAGTTCAAGGAGCTTATAATGCTCTAAATCCAGAAACTTTAAATAAAGTTTGGTTAAGTTATCAGCAGGTAATGGCTACAATCATGGAAAAAGAAGGAGGAAACAATTATAAACTACAGCATATGGGCAAAGGCAGACTGGAAAGGGCTGGGACACTGCCTAAGTCCCTTCACATAGACCCAGAGGTAGTTGTCAACACAGCAAGACTACTTGGAGAAGGAAATGGGAGTACACCTGAAGATATGATTCAGTTCAACCCTAAAGAGGAAGATGAATACCTCTCTTCAGACTTGAACTGAATGGAATGGGAAGAACACAAAGGTTTTTTGGGCAGTTCAAGGGCTTTTGGTTTTTGGGATGCTGGCAAGGAAGGGCTTTTGGTTTTTGGGATGCTGGGAGGGAAGGGCTTTTGGTTTTTGGGATGCTGGCAGGGAAGGGCTTTTGGTTTTTGGGATGCTGGCAGGGAAGGGCTTTTGGTTTTTGGGATGCTGGCAGTGAGTGTATTTCCAAGTGCTTAATTTTTTTTGTTTTTTGCAAGTGCTTGAACCTGTGTATATATGTACTCAGAACAAGGCAACTACACAACCTGCTCTATTTGTATTTACAACATCCAGCATACCTTACCTTTGTTTACTTTATACCACATCATCATTGCTGAACTTAAGGAAACTTAGAACACATATAAGGTACTCAGAAACACCCACACATGGCTAAGTGTTCATCATAAGTACATTTTCCAATTCCTAGGATATTTATTTACAGTAATTAATGTCTTCATATCTTCAGGAAATACTAACAGATTAAAGTACTCAGAAAAAGCCCATAATCCTTCATCACAGTACTTAAATCCAGTATTCACAGAAAATAAGAACACGGAATAAGTACTCAAAAACATCCACAGTTCATCAATTGCTCATCACAGCACATAATCCTTTCTCAGACCAGGCAGAATAAATCCAGTCATCATAGATTGTAAAAACATCACATTATGATACAATCACAGCATCAAATATTGCGCAGGCATAATAACTCATCACATAACGAAAGGAATGCAGACAAAGAATGTAAAAGTACTTCCCTACTTGTACTTCGAAGCCCGAAAATTTGGGTCTGGACTGGGAAGTAAGATGTTCAACATATCAATGTGGAGGTGCATGCATGAGCAGATCTGGGAAGAATTCTATTGCCGAGTCTTGGGCCTCACGCTACACCAAGGCCGAATCCTTGTAGGATTCGGTTTCCTACTTCTTGAGATCTTGTTTCCTAGTTTAATTAGAAGTCTTTTTCTTAGTTTGATTAGTAGTTTGTTTCCTTGTATGTTTGTACTCCCATCCTATATAAAGGGGGAGATCTTTTGAGAATAGATGGAACAAGAATTTACCTTCAATATTTTATTTCACATAAATTTACATGGTATCAGAGCAGTTGACGTGACCCAATCGGGAAGATGGCCGAAGTCTCAACGGACAACCCCTTCTCAAAAGGAACCGGCGAAGAAGAATTCGTGAGGGTAAGCCCTTACGAACTAAGATCAGCAGATACACCTGCATTAGTAATCACCCAGATCAAATTGACGGGTGACAACTACGAAGAATGGGCTCGGGCCGTGCGCATTGCACTCCGTGCCAAAAGAAAACTTGGATTCATTGATGGGACGATTCCGTTGCCCGAAGACAACGAAGAAAAGGCTGAAGAATGGTGGATCGTGAACGCGATGTTGGTATCATGGATCTTCAACACCATAGATGGCACACTCCGAAACTCGATCACACAAGTGGAAGAAGCAGCAGAACTATGGAACGACATCAAGGAGCGGTTTTCGGTAGCCAACGGACCGCGTGTCAATCAACTCAAAAAAGAGTTGGCATGCTGCAAACAAAGTGGACAGCCCATTGCCACTTATTTCGGAAAACTGAAGAATATATGGGATGAACTGGGGACGATCGAGAAACTCCCTATGTGCGCCAAATGTCGGGCCTGCAAGTGTGGGACCATCAAGACAATCGAGACACAAAAGGAGGATGAAAAAGTGCACCAATTCTTGATGGGACTCGACAACGAAGGATATAGCGGCGTGCGATCCAATATTCTGAGCACCACTCCGCTCGCATCCCTTAACCGTGTTTGCTCGACTATTATACAACAAGAAGGAGTGCTTAAAGTGACCACCCAGGACGAGGAGAAAAACCCGGTCAGCTTTGCCGTTCTCAATCGAACTGATCGGGACGTAACGAAGGAAGTGAAATGCAAACATTGTGGGATGACTGGACACGAGGTGAGCAGCTGTTTTCAGTTAATTGGATATCCGGACTGGTGGGGTGATCGACCCCGCGGACAGTTCACTGGACGAGGAGGAGGCCGAAGTGGACGCGCGGGAGGACGACATGGTGGCAGAACCAGAGCACCAGGCGGACGCAATAACCGGAACACAGGGACTGGTTTTGGAACCAATACTGCAGCCCACACTGCTCGAACAGAAGGAAGCAGCACGAAAGAACCTTTTACCTCTGAACAATGGAGTTCCTTGATGAAACTGATAAAAGAAAAGGAAATTCCTCTTGATAACCAATTTTCAGGTAATCACACTACCTCTTGGATTATAGACAGCGGTGCTAGCCAACACATGACAGGAAACGAAGAAAACTTGACCAACATTGAACAAATGAAACATTGCACCGTCACCCTCTCGGACGGTGACCATGTTGCGGCCACAAAGAAGGGCCGTGTGCGGCTGGGGAGCACACTGATTCTGGAAGATGTCTTGCTTGTGCCCAAACTCAACTGCAATTTGATCTCTGTCTCACAGCTTTTACGTGATAAAAGTTTGATTGTCCAATTTTTTAACAAAATGTGTTTTATACAGGATTATGCCTCGAAGACGGTGATTGGAGCGGGTAGGCAACTTGGGGGCGTATACTTCTTCCAAGAAGACGTGACCGGAAGAGCGTGTGTCGTATGAAAGGAAGACATCGCGGGAACTTGGCACAAACGCTTGGGACATCCCTCTTATTCTGTTCTTGGTTTCCTTCCTCATATTTCCTCTAAAAATCATGTAGACAATCTTCCTTGTGATGTGTGTTTCCGCTCCAAACAGAGTCGAGATTCGTTTCCAGTTAGTTCTAATAAAGCTCTTATTCCTTTTCATTTAATCCATTGTGATTTATGGGGTGGTTATAGAACTCCGTCTAGAACTGGGGCAAGATACTTCTTAACCATAGTCGATGACTTCTCGAGGGCTGTCTGGGTCTATTTGCTAAATAACAAAGATGAAACACCATCAGTCCTTCAAAATTTTCTCACTATGGTCGAACGACAATTTGAAACAAAAGTCAAAATCATCCGTAGTGATAATGGAACTGAATTCACTTGCATGAGATCCTTCTTTGATTCCTAGGGTATATTGTTTGAAACATCGTGTGTAGGAACCCCACAACAAAACGGGAGGGTGGAACGTAAGCATCGCCATATTCTTAACGTGGCGCGTGCCTTACGTTTTCAAGCCAACTTGCCCATCAAATATTGGGGGGACTGCATTCTTACCGCTGGCTACTTGATAAATCGCACCCCTACACCTATCCTCGACAATAAAACACCCTATGAAATCCTTCTTGGTCAACCACCATCTTATACTCATATTCGCACATTTGGTTGCCTCGCCTACGCCCATAATCAAAGTCATCACGGTGACAAATTTGCTAGTCGGTCTAGAAAATGTGTCTTCCTTGGTTATCCCTTTGGACAGAAAGGGTGGCGTTTGCTTGACTTGGACAATTACAAAGTGTTCACAAGTCGAGATGTCAAATTCTGTGAAAACCACTTTCCCTTCCCTATTCCCTCGCCTGAAGCTCCAGACGACACGGCTGACATCTCCCTCGCCAACGACGACGACGAGGATCAGCCGGCGTCCCTCGTCACACGTCCACCTCCACAGCCAACGTCGCTTCCTGAGTCTGTCAATCAATCCACACCCGAGTCTAGCCCTGATCATACCATTGAAACCCCTACCGATACCACACCCGAGTCTGCCCAGTCTCCTCCCGTTCCTTTGCGCCGTAGTACCCGTGATAAACAACCTTCTACGCGACTTCGTGACTTCGTGGTTCACGCCATTCAAGGACCCTCGAGTGCCTCTCTGCCTCCAACCACGTCTTCAGGTACTAAGCACTGTATTACACATTTTGTTAATTATGACAATTTAACTTTGTCGCATAGAGCTTTTTTGGCAGCGATCAGTGCAGAGGTCGAGCCAACTCATGTTTCTGAAGCACTCCAGCACCCCCAATGGCGGCAAGCAATGAAAGATGAATTACAAGCACTGGAGGATAATTAGACATGGACACTCATGCCTCTTCTGCGCGGTAAAAAGGCAATTGGTTCCAAGTGGGTGTTCAAAATCAAACATAAGTCGGATGGAACGATTGAACGCTACAAGGCACGTCTGGTCGAGCTGGGCAACAAACAAAAGGAAGGCATTGACTTCAAAGAAACATTTGCACCCACTGCCAAATTGGTATCTGTCCGTATGCTCCTTGCGGTTGCTGCGGCCCGGAATTGGAGTTTGCACCAGATGGATGTTCATAATGCATTTCTCCATGGTGATCTTGATGATGAGGTATATATGCGACTACCTCCCGGGTCCTCTGCACGTCAACAAGGATTGGTGTGTCGTCTTCATAAGTCTCTCTATGGTCTACGTCAGGCTCCACGCTGCTGGTTTGCAAAATTAACGTCCGCTTTACGTTCGTTTGGGTTTGTTCAGTCCAAGGCTGACTACTCCTTATTTGTTCTCGTTAGGGGGGTGTGGAGCTTCGTGTTCTCATTTATGTGGATGACTTGGTGATTGCTGGAAGTAATGAACACTATATTGTTCAATTTAAACAGTTCTTATCCACTCGGTTTCATATGAAGGATTTGGGGCCATTGAAATATTTTCTGGGTATTGAAGTCGCCCGCGGAACACACGACATTTTCCTGTGCCAACGGAAATACACATTGGATATTTTGACTGAAACAGGGATGCTTGGTTCCCGACTGGCAAAAGCGCCCCTTCCGGTGAACCACCGTTTAGCTTTGGCGACTGGGGCAGAATTGGGACAGGCCAGGGCTGGGCAGTTTCGCAGACTGGTCGGCCGCCTCATTTATCTGACTATCTCCCGTCCCGACCTTGCTTATGCCGTACATACGCTTTCTCAGTTCATGGGGTCCCCACGGCAGGAACATTGGGATGCCGCTATGCACACTGTTCGCTACCTCAAGCATCGGCCTGGCCAAGGTCTGTTTCTCTCGGCCCGTAGTGATCTTACTCTCACCGCCTTTTGTGACTCTGATTGGGCCAGCTGCCCTCTTACACGACGCTCAGTCACAGGCTATTTTATTAAACTTGGTGACTCCCCAGTATCATGGCGTACAAAGAAACAACACACGGTCTCTCGCTCCTCTGCTGAAGCTGAATACCGCGCCATGGCCACTACTGTCTGCGAACTTAAATGGTTACAGTCCCTCCTTCTTTCACTCGGGATACGACATACTGCTCCTATGACACTTTACTGTGACAACCAGGCTGCCCTTCACATTGCTGCAAACCCCGTCTTCCATGAACGTACAAAGCACATTGAGATAGACTGTCATTTCATTCGTGATGAAATGCAGCGTGGTATTCTTCGTACGTCTCACATTGCTTCCATTGATCAGCCCGCCGCCCTCTTCACTAAAGCACTTCCGTCTCCTACATTTGATCGTCTGTTGCCCAAGCTGGGCATCCGTAATCCGCATGCACCAGCTTGAGGGGGGGTATTGCCGAGTCTTGGGCCTCACGCTACACCAAGGCCGAATCCTTGTAGGATTCGGTTTCCTACTTCTTGAGATCTTGTTTCCTAGTTTAATTAGAAGTCTTTTTCCTAGTTTGATTAGTAGTTTGTTTCCTTGTTCCATCCTATATAAAGGGGGAGATCTTTTGAGAATAGACGGAACAAGAATTTACCTTCAATATTTTATTTCACATAAATTTACAAATTCTGAATTGGAGTGATATCAGATCCCTCTGTGCCATCAGAATTAGTTTCAAGAACTATGACCTCAACCTCCTCACTCTCCAGATGAATAACAGAGTCGCTTTCAGAGGTAAGGTCGATTACCTCTTTCGCTTTGACCGGGGCAACATCGGCAACGTTCTCGTTCTCGTTATTCTCGAGAACGATTGCCTCGTCCTCCTCCTTGTCGTCAGAGCTGTAGACGTAGGCGCCATCTACAAATTGGGTTTTTGGAATGCATGATTCGTATAGATAATCATCGAATTCCATTGAAGAGATGGATGAACAGAGAAAATGTATACAGATCTAGATCTGTAAATGAGGAGAAGAAGAGGCGAAGAATTAATTGAGGAGAGGAAGAGTCAGATACGGGTGGAGTAAATGAGGAGGAGGAAGGGGCGGATAAGAGAATGGGAGTGGATAGGTGTGAATTAGAAAAAGGTGGAGGGTATTTTTGGAAGAGTATGGGTTAAAATTAGAAATGTAAACTTTATTTTCGGACGGAGAAAAAGGAGAAACGTAAACTTTATTTCCGGACGGAGTGAGTATATATTAATAATCTATATGTTAAGACGAATCAAACAAGATCACACATGACTATATTTAGGCTTACACATTGAGAGAATTTGATGAGTTAAAGTGCTTAGATGAAAAATTCCAAAAGTCAAAAGTGGACAAACACTCAGGGAGGGATGGAGTATATACATACGGAGTATATACTAGGGTCGAGGCACGTTATGGGGAGGTGGCAATGGCATAATAAAATGGCCAAATTTAGTTGACAGCACAGATGAGATGCCAGACGTGGATTCTCCATACCGCCAATCAGATCAATTATTGAGCTTCTCTACGCCTCTCCTTTTTTTTTTATTTTCAATTTATTCTATGCTCTAAAAATTCTTTCGTAGGCCAAAATTTGTCTCATATAATAAAAACTTATAGGCAGCATATTTAGTGTAACAACGTGTGCAATTTCCTATCCAAAGCAGGCACGAGGCCACCCGCCCCCTCACCCCTACTAATTACTTTTATAGTTTTATCACAATATTCCATCCCTCCTAACATTAAAGTTTTATTTTAACTTTACATGTTTCAAGATAAACATAAACGGACTTCAAAAAAAAAAAAGATAAACATAAACGATGTATTCTATTCGTCACAGAAAAACAATCATAGTTTAATTTCATAGAACTAAAAAAAATTATATAATTGATAATGATACAAAAAAGATAATACTTAGATTAAAGAACTTAGATTAAAGAAGAGGGAGATGAAAATAATACCAAAGTTTATGAATTAGGATTCAAATCCCTTATTGTATCATTGGAGAAGGTGTTTACAAGACAAAAGATACTTGTTATTCCCTTCCAATGATTACTTGAGTTTGATCTCTTCTTCATCTCACTAATAATGTTACGGGACTATTACTATTATTATTATTATTATTATTATTATTATTATTATTATTATTATTATTATTATTATATTATTATTATTATTATTATTATTATTATTATTATTATTGTAGGTAAGGAGTTATTTATAGTTAGATAATTATTATTAGAGAATATTATTTTTGTTAGGTTATTAATTAGTTTCTTATTTTATTTAGTTTCCTTTTAGAGATTGGATTCCCTTAGGCTTTTAGAATTTCACTCTATATATTGAGATGTATTGCTTTAGAATTAAATCAATAAAGAAATATTTCCCTAACCCTAAACTCCCCCTCTCCTCCTTGCCGATCAACGGCCGTCTTCCCCTCTCCTTTCTCAATCTCTTCCTTTTCCCCAATTCTATAGCTCGAAGGTGTAAATCCTTCTTTATCCCGATATGATACCGTATCAATTGGTGCTCTCATTCTCGAATTCACCAAAAAAAAATCTACAGCACACGCAATGGATTCACTTTTGGACAAAGTTCTTGGTTCACTCGAGAAAGTTCTACGGGGACAAATTGAATTTTATGAAGGAGTGTGTGCAGTTGAAGATTCCGTGGATGAGATTATAAAGAAAGTTCAGGCATTCCGTCAAATTGAAGGTCAACCAAAATATGATTACAAGGTATATGCGTTTTCCGTAGAGGCCTATTGTTCAATACAAAATTTAGTCCGTGGTCTCCCAATTATGCCGAGCCTGATTCCTATAGAGTTATATATTTTCAAAACAACCATGATGCGCTCTATAAGGAAACTCATTGGCACTCCCCGAGATTTGGCCCCTACAGTAGCTGTGCAGAACACAACTTTGCAAGACCAGGAATTTAAAAAGGAAATTTTTATTAATCCTATTGGTGTTCCCGATGATGATCTTATTATTGATCCCATAGATGTTGTTCCTGTTACCGTTGATGATGTTGTTGTTGTTGATGTTTCTGGTGACGATCAACAAGACCACACTGTCCAAGCA